TACATATAATACTTTAAAGTTATTTTCACTGAAAGTCACATTTCACTCTAATAGTTCTGAACAGGTATTAAAATATGTCAGATATCTACAACATTTCTTACTCGTTTGGTTTACAGACCATTTCTAGTGACGTTCCCAAGTTTTTTATTATATGCTCTGGAAGTAAACAAACTACGAATTAGATTAACACGTTGTCAAGATTTTCAAAAATTTTTTTTTTACAATAGACCTTAAATGTTTTCTGGACATTTTTTATCCAGCACCGATTACTATGTCACCTTTAGTAACTAGGTAATCGAGGTGACATGTCACGATGAAGTATGCTCTCGAAAGTCACGCAACTGACCACAAACAGGTTGAATTTGGTGGTTAAAACTTATCAAGACGCAAATTATGTTAAAAAATATACACGATGTCATAACCAAAGTGACGATTTCGTTGTACATTACTGACTACGCTAGTAAAAGCTGAAATGTTTATTTGGGAATTTCTCAATGGAAGTTTACTTGTAGCTATTTGATCACACAATATCGTCCATAGAATAGTAATCGACCTTTCATAACGATATTTCGTTGGTTATTTTTCATAATTAATACGCAGAACTGTCTCAACCAAGCGAGTTGCATCACTCTACTTGGGTGATTGACGGGGCGATGGCCATGTGTAATGAAGTGTTCTCTTTCGAGGTTATTTTTGAGTGTTTCTATACTTTGTTCATTGTAATTTGATAGATATAACGGTCACAAATTGTGTATAAAGCGAGGTAAAGATGCGTCGGCCGGTATTCTGAAAAATGTGTGTAAAAAGTATTTACACATATACCAGACCAGGTGTTTGTTACGTAGTTTGAGCTACTATTCTTGAATACAACACACTTTTTGTAGTCATTCTACTCAAAACTGGACCCGTCACTTTGCATGTCGATTATTACACGCAACAAACTTTCTAAACAAAACGATTACCTACCACTACAATAATTGATTTATTATAGCCTTACTTTTGCGTAATAAAATTACCAACCCAATTTGCGGGTGGACAAAAAATTTGCAAAAATCGTATAGAAGAACGGAGCGCAAAAGTTGTAATACTGTAGAGCTATCAGTAGTTTTTCAATAAGCAATAAATAATGTAACGCAACGCAACGGTGGCAGCGCACGCGCCGGCCGCTAACAAGGCTCCGTGCCATCGTTGTGCAACCGGCCCCACCCTGCGCTGGCACTTGTAGCCTATTTAGGTTCAAGTTATAGGCGAATTGCAACTTTTATTTTTATGCAAGATTTATTTTTATGAAATATGCTATTGCTTTATTAAAACTCAGTTGTTGATTACTCTCTAAGTAAGGGTGTATCGTTTTCTGTACGATACATACTACTTAAATACATTCAGCATATTATAGTCATAAGTATAGTTTATATTTTAAATTCATTCGAATATGACTTTATTCTTTTAAAAGTCAGTGTTGGTGTATATTTTCGCTTTAAGAGTTTCCATAGCTGGCAACAGCAAAAGTTTGTTCCTTGCTCCACCAGCTTAGTGATTCCGTTCTTGTCCGACTTGTGTTTAGAATGATATTATACATAGGTACTCTAAGAATCTAGATCTCTGCACGTAACGTCCCTATGATATAGCAACTTGATTGAAGTGTACCTATTTCTACGTACTTGGATATTTATTAGGTAAACGTAGAGGTACATATTTTGCAAGTTGTCAAATAATTTTAGAAAGGCGATTTAGTTTTTGTCAGTATCTATTGTCAGTGATAAACGGCTAAGTACAGATTACAATGCTGTCCTTGAATTCGGTTTACCTTTCTATTGCGAAGGTGTTTTGTTACAGTACGGACCAAAATGGAGATCCGGTATTCTGATAACGTCTGTTGCTGCGAGGTAAAGCATTATTTAGTGGTTCTTTTTTGAGGAAATTATGACGAATGTCAGAAGACAAGAATTAATTCTCTGTTTTACGCTATGCGGAAGTTGTTTGGCGAGTTGTAAGGTATGTACAGTATGTTGTATCTTGTTCTACATTTTTGTAGAACAAGTTTGTGAGATAGACATACGATTTATTCTTAGTTATATGCAAATTTTTATTTAGACAGAGTTCAAATCATCTTAGTTTCTCTTCGAAAGTTACACTTCATCACGAGCAATCATCAAATCCGATTAGGCAATAAGCATTCAAAAGTTGACGTCCAAACGTCTTAGCCTGAGGCGGATTGTCTATTTGTCTAATTACCTGGGTGAATACAAGGCGGCTGTTCATGTTGGCGGGCCTATTGTAAGGGCGGTTTCGTTTGTCGCAAATTAATCGCCATAAAGCATAATCATATCGTAAACGCGCTCGTGAGCTGCGCAAGAGCACGCCGGAGGCGCCCTTCAATTCCAAAATGGCGCTCACAGATTTAAATTGTATTAGGTCTTTGCTGTGGCTGCTATAATTTTCATAACTTTGTTGGTTGCTCTTATGTTAAAAGGTTTTCTTGTAATTCTGATAATTTTGAATACCGCATTTCTAATAACCTTGTTCGTGACTGGTACTTATTTCAAATTTAATCTGGCAAAAAGATCCTTGAAAGTTTTTCAAAATAATAACTTGGTGCCGTGGTAGCCTAATGGTTTGACCTATCGCCTCTCAAGCAGAGGCCATGGGTTTGAATCCGGCCTCGCACCTCTGAGGCTGAGGCTTTCGATATTTATGTGCAAAATTTAATTAGAAATTTACCATGAGCTTTTTAGTGAAGGAAAACATGAAACCTGCATGTCGAATAAAGTTCACAACCCTCGGAAAACCGTGAAGTTCCCAACCCGAACTGGGTCAGCGTGGCGGGGTATGGCCTAAACCTTCGCCCGAGAGGAGATCTGTGCCTTGGTATTTTTTTTTTACTTGGTATTTCTTTAAAATTTTTATTGAATTGATATTCAATTATTTTTATGTGAAATTACTCCACTAGTTTGTTATAATTATTAACACAAAGATAGAACGCTCGAAAAAATCCTTCGATCCGGCCGGATTCGATATTTTGCCGGATTGGTATGTTTTATTATGAGGATGTCTGCACGAAATTGCTACTTAGCAGTAAGGCAACTGTAAGTAACTTGTGTTCACTGGGAAGTTTTAAATAGGGAAAGGAGTTAAAAAGAAAGATCAAACCTTATTTATTGTTATTTATTCCATTTTGACAAGGTATTCGGTGACCTTTGAACGACTACTAAGTATCAAAAGTAGAAAACGATAAAGGTAATAATCTCTATCTTCTATAACTGCTATATATAAGTTAAATAGCATCTCTTTTATATTCCGATGTATTTTGGTACGAGTACACTAAACTGTAAGTCATGGCAAATTCATATAATTCTATTGTACAGGATCTATAAGTCAACAATATAACTCAAGAAGCTTATTCTGAACTTTAAAACATTTTGTTGTACGGCTTTTTAATAAAAATATTTAAAAATATTTTTTTAACAAAAATAAATTGATTTTAAGTACAAGCTCCTCGAGTTTTCGCGTTGCCTTTATAAACAATCTGTATAAAAGTTTAAAGGTAACATTGACTTTCAGAGAGCAATAAGGCATTAGATAAAATAAATAAATAGCCACTTTACACTTGTGTTGTGGATTGTATGACTGTCTGTAAGATTTTTCAACATTGCAATTCAAGTCTAGTGGTATCGGACAAGTTATTTTGGATTCTGAATTGGTGGCGCCAGTGTTCTTTGACACCACCACAGCCATGTTGTCATAAAAAGAAATAAAATAAAAATTACGCTATACATCGAGAGTAAATAATTTTTGTTAAAATGAAAAGGTACATACATACCTATCTTTTCATTTTAACAAAAATTATTTAGGGACAAAAATAATTTTATCCCTTAGGGAATAAGGGCGTTTCACTGTCGAGCATGGAATTTGAACGGTATAATTGATAACACAGCGCCATCAAATTTATCGTAAGTAGGAGATTGTTTGAAAATAAACCCAGTAGGCAGCTGTGCTTTACAGCGTTTTCTATTTAATTTCTTTGTTAATGGAATGTAAAGTACAACGTTCCATTTAGATGTAAAGTTTCATCACAGGCGCTATATTAAATTCTGCGATCCGGATTTAGCAAATATACTATTTTGCTCTTTAGTGACACAATTTTATTAATTCAATCTTGAAACAACATGAATTTTATAGTACAAATTGAAAGTGAAATATTATTAAAATTATTATTATATAAAATTTGAGTAATAACTTTTTTTTATAAAATCGTGTACGAAGTGTTTTTGCAACAGTAGGAAATACAAGAAAAAACCAAAATGCAATGTTTTATCGAGATCATTGATTTTAGTATTGATTTTTTTCATGAATTTCCTACAACTTTTTATAAATAAGTAAAAGTTACTTATACTCGTGTAACAATAGAGATCTATCTATACTTAAAGGAACGTTTAAATTAGGTCTTTGAGAGATTTTTCATTAAATGATTTAATCCATGAAAAATTAAGGAAACAAGGTCAATTTGAAATCCAGATAAATAAATTACAATCACAGATCCGTATCTTAATTTAGTTAATTTTGGAAATAATTAAATCAAATGTACAATTTTGTTTAATCTCTAATTTTATTCATACGTAATTTTTTTCTTATAAAAAAATCTCAAAATATAATAGAACATATTCTAATTTGCATAATTATCTTGAAACTTAACAGCGCACCAGGATTCATACGGAATGATTTCATATTCCGATACTGATGTTAAAAACTATATAATTTACGCAACATATACAACATTATCGTGAATAAAATTCCGAGAAATTAGAAAATTCTAAACAACATTTCATTAAAAAATATTTATAATATCTTCAATAATAAGCAACAAGTATTTATTGGTAACCGGCGTTTCCTCTCAGACTAATAATACTAATATATTTTATATCAAATAAAGCAAAATTTACAAAAAAATTATAATACAAAGATACTAGGTACATTCATACATTATCAATAAGTAGGTATAATTCTAATATAGCGAACACTCTGAACACTTAAAAATAGATTACCTATTTATGTTTTAGGACAAGGAATAATAGATTCTAGTTTCGTATATCTATCGGTAGTGAAATTCGGTATGAGACCTAACTAATCCTATATGTACTTTGAACGATAGCTTCTATTTACAATAGGTACATGAGATGCTTTGTCTTTGTTACTTTCATAACTTTATAAAGCCGACAAGTCGTCAGATTTATACTTGCTCTACAATAGCTTTCATTTTAACTACATACCTATACGACAAACAATGAAATTGCTGCATTTGAAATGTATTAAATTGAGCCATCCATATACATCTCTAAATCAAAAAAATATGTAATTTTCGTGGAATGTAACATCTGGAATTTCGGATTTTGTTGTGTTTATGATTGGCTCTATAATTTTCTAACCTTCGGAGAGTTGGCGTCGGCAAATTGTTGAACGCAGCATCAAGTTCTCAATACACCGCTTTATTTATGTTATTACGGGTCAGAGTTGAATATTTCTAAGAGGTTCTAAATAACAGAACTCGTTCTGGTGCATAAAGGTACTATTGTCGGTTCGATCGAGTAACAGTTCACAAACTCAATATAAGTTTTGTATAATTTACACAAGAGTCGTTTGAATGTATCGACCAGATTATTGTACTGCGGTAGTCGGGTCTACTATCAGGTGTGATCCGCGGCGCTTGCGGCGGCGGCAGCTGCCCGGCGCGCGGCTGGCGCTACTCGTCCCATGAACGACCGAATCTCCTCGAAGTAGGTCTCGTCCGGAGACCTCCGACGTCCATCGTCTCCGTTTTCAGCTTCGTGTTTCTTTAAATGTCTGTCCAGGTTTGTCTGCTGGCCGAAGCAGCGATCACAATGACGACACCGGAAAGGTCTCTCCTTGTTGTGAATGTTTCTCACATGTCTCTGAAGATTCGATGATATCGAAAAGGAACGTTCACAGTATTTGCAGCGATAGGGCTGCTCTCCAGTATGCGTTCGTAAATGTCTTGTCAGGTTCGCGCTTCGTGGGAACGCTTTCCCACAGTAAGAACAGGTATAACGGTCTCTCGCTCGAGGAACTCCGGGGTTTGAAGGTACGGGGGGCGCGCGGGGCGCGCCAGGGGCGAGCAACGTCGCCGCCGCTGCTGGGAGGAACGGGTAGCGGCCAAAGGAAGCTGGCAGTGCCAGCGGCAATCGCCTACAGAACTGGAGCAGCGCTGGGTGCGCTGGATGAGCAGGATGTGTTGGGTGTGGAGGGGGTGAGGGGGCGATAAGGTTACAGTTTTCATCTTCGAGTCGCTGGGGACGTTTGTGCGTGACACGCAGATCGAGCGGTTCGTCGGCACGCGGCGAACCAAGTGGGCTGCCGTGGTCCAGCGGGGATGGCGATGTTGGCGGGGAGGCTAGGCGGCGCGGCGCCGCGTGCTTTTCGCGCATGGCGGCCGCCGCGCACGCGCTCATCGGGCTCGTGCGCCAACGACCTGAAACAATAGACACACGTATTTACTACCTTTGTTCCACTAAAACATAAGAGCACTGCGATTGCCAAAGCCAGTTTTCAGTTTCAACGCAATTCGTGGGTTTTTAACAAATGGTTTTCTCCAAGAAAGCTAGTCAAGCTGCTAAAGTTTCTATTTCCGTCCTTAGTTAGTTTAGGTGCCCCTATAAACTAGCTCATTCGAGCTCATTCATAGTCAAAGGTGACAAGTGTCCAGTTTCGCTTCCTACAAACATCCTAGAGTCTGGTATGCTAAAGCGTGTACCGATTGCGAAATGACGGCAGACGGAGGGTCGGCGGCGGCGGGGGTGGGTGATAGATGTCAGCTCCTACGCGGCCGCACGCCCACTGACTTGCGACATCAGCAAACTAGAGCACTCGCTACCGAAGCGCTCGGTTTTTTGACTTAATTATTAACACCGCTTTATTGGCTATTTCGCTAACCGTAAATAAGCACTGCGCAATCTTAATGTTTTCACTGTCTTACTGCACTACGTGCGAATCAGGAATTTATTGCTTCACCTAATCATTCGGTAACTGAATGTTTGTGTGAATCAATTTCGTTTATTTAACTATAGGCTCTTTAAAGTTTACGCACTAAGTTAGTTATTAGATTTGCATTACTATCTCTTTAGTATTCCAAAGTAGTTTCTAAGTTACATGAGCAATGAATAAGTATAACTTGCTACAAGTAATTAAGATGTAGCAATAAATTTCTCCGGCCGTCTACCTACATTGCGTTATTACAAAAATGTGGCGGAAAGGTCGTGGTTGGGTGATTGAACAACATCATTGGCGTGATTGATCGGCGCGCGCATCACCCACGTTCGTCACGCGCATTGTTGGCGTGCGCCGGCGCAAACAATAATAGCGCGGTTGAATCATTAACAAACAGTAGAGAAACACGAATTTTCCCATACGTAGGTACAAGTAAAGGCTAATTTAATTATCTAGTTCCCCTGTACTTTAATTTAAATCGTTTGGAATTAAATTTATTCTGCTCAAAACATGCAAGTATTTAAATGATTTTGTTTTTTGTTAATGTTTTGGTTTTTATTCGTAAAATAAAGCATGAATTTTGAGCCAAGAAAAACATGTCCACTTTCAACGTAGTGTACAAAAAGATTTAGTTACTATTTAAAATCATTACACCGTGACGAAGATCTGTCCTGCCGATACCGCCGTATATGTTAACTACATTACGATTTCATTAGAGTTTATTAGAATGATTGATTGTTTTAAAGCCAACGCTTATTTGCTAGAATCCACACTCACGATCTCGAAAAAGGACATTACAAATACAGTAAGTTTACTTTTTTTAATGCTTTTGATATATGTGTTAATGTAAAAAACACTTCACGTTCTAGAGGTTAGAATGATTTATTTTGATTTGTTTTTTATTTTAATGGTAGAAATTGTAAAAAAAGGAGATTAATAACATGTTCCTGCAGTATTTTAGAAGCAGTAGAGCTCCTTTTGAAAGAGTTCGTCCTGGGAAGTGCCACCCTACCTATTTCTGCCGCCAAGCAGTAATGTCAGAATTACTGTGTTCCGGTTTTGAAGGGTAAGGGTGCTGGTGAAATTTCAGACACATGGGATTTGGCAACTTATGTCTCAGGGTGACGGGCGTAGTGGCAGTGCCCCTCAGAATTTGCGATTTCAAACTTTGAGTGACACTGCAACTGTTATGGACAGGCGTGTAGCGTACCATCAGGCGCACGACTTGTTCGTGCCGTCTCCTCATATTATTAAAAAAAAAATCTGCCCAATAAAAGGACATTTTTCAGGAGAGAGGTTTAAAGGTTCTACGAACGAAATTAGCAGATAATTTTTTTTATGCTTAAATAGGTAGATAGAGTATATAATTTTTATTATTTGTTTCGTGCAGATACTTCCTGTACTATGAGTACCGGAGTAACATAGTTCGTACTCCACATACACTATGCAGAACTCTTATATCAGAACCAATATGGAAAGGTGCGAATTTTAGAATCAGTAAGCTGACATTAGACATGTATCTACAAATGTTACACAACTTGATAATATAGTGTTCCCAACACGCGTAGTCTAGCACGCTGGTTTGTTGCCCAGTACCCCTTCGACTCCTTGTGGAGAGATGTGTCTAACGATAGTAACTTACTGTATAATATATTGGATACAATCCTACTTTTAGCATCCATTGTGTAAAAAGTGCATCAGCTACAAATTTGTTCAGTCACGCCTCTCGGCCAGTGCAGCTAATTCGCACCAAAACTGCGCCCGCGCATAAATCCGTCCAACGAGGGCCAGGTCGACCGTATTTGGCCAACTCGTGAGGTTCCGCTGCATGCTTATGATTTGTTGCTAAGGGATTTTGTTGAAGTATTGGTACAATCGGGTACAATGTAAAGGTGTACAGGATAGTTAACATAAAAGAAATTTTTCTTTCGCGATAGTTACACATAGGAAATTAAGCTATTTTTCCGAATCTTAATCGAGTATATTTGTTTTTCCAAACAAACTAACGTTTCGGTCCTTTTCACAGGGACCATGGAAAAACGGGTTTCTTTGAAAAACAATCTAGATTTGAAAAAATAGTTACATTTCATATAAAACAAAGATACAAAATGACGAGGGACGAGTGTGGAGCTGATAACAATTATTGTATATTATTACATACACAGATACCATAACACTCGTCTCCCATTGAAGTAATAATATCGCTCACACGCCATAACCTCGCATTAGGGAAATCCCGTATCGCGGGTGCTATGGACACACACATAGACAACCACAAATTACACCCAAACCCACGAGAGAAATAAATGTGTGCCGTACAAATATTTCTCCCGGCCGAGAATCGAACCCGGGACCTTTGCGTGGCAGTGCAGCATGATAACCGTTCTGCCACGGAGGCAGGCAGTAGAATCAGGTACGTTCAAATTTTACTCAATAAAAGTAAAAAAAAATCGAACGTATTAGAATGTTACGTGTATGGGTAGATACCAGTACCCAGGTATGTGTCGAAAAATAGATTAATTTTATTCAATGTGCTTTCGACGAATAATGCGTACTAGTTAATATTTCGGCAATTATTTCTCAAGTGTTTAATATCACGTAAGTGAAATTTGTACTCTCTTAGAGTAAAATAAGTACACTATACACAAGTATTTCACAATACGTTCGACCTTTTGTACCACATCTTGTCCAGTTCGGTACAAGCTATCAAAGGAGCCGGCCGATATAAGGAAGCTAGACGACATTAGGCGTGCACCATATTTGTAACGCGCGCTGCTACTTAACTCGTAGTCGATTTCGAGACGTATTTGCTGCTTTTACGGCATGAAGAGATTTAGGCGTTCAAAAGTATAAAAACTGTGTCTTCTATTAAATGAAGTTGATGAGAATAAACGTTTCGAATTGGTTTAGTGTTATAGCGACACGATATTTATTTCATGGGTTTCACTTTCAATACTTATTTAGTAGGTACTAAAATACGTAGAGACTGGAGTGATCGTACCAGACCGTACAGAGACCCTAGTGTTGCATAACATTTAAAGTCATAGATGGAAAATTTCATAACTTATGCTGTTTCTTATTCATACAATTTTGAATTCAGAAAGTGATATCGAGTTCTTAGATTTTCGCGATTGTTACACATTGGAAAAATTAATTTCCTATTAGAAACTGATAATTTATTTAAATATCCATGGTAGTCTAATGGTTTGACCTGTCACCTCTGAAGCAGAGGCAGTGGGTTCGAATCTGGGCTCGCCCCTCCGAGTTGTTGCGAAATTTAATTTGAAAACATGACCTTTTCGGTGACAGAAATCCCGTGAAGTCCCCAACCTGCGTTTTTTGGGCCAACTTGGCGGACTGTGCTCTAAATCCTCGTCTGAGAGGAAACCCGTACCCAGAAGTGTGACGTATAAATAGGTTGATGATGATAATAATCTGTGTCTAAGTGTACTACTATTTATTTTTAAATCGGACTTTGTATTATGCTAATTCAACTTCATACCATTGAACGGCTTACGACAGCAATAAATAACGCATGTATGTAAAACTAACTACACATTCGTACAGAAGAGTAACGAATCATGATCCACTAATTACGCGTAATTAACTACGTTCGGAAGTGACGCTCCTTGTGGGCGGAGCATCTACGGTCTACGGCCGGCTATGTATGTAAATGTGAATACCATAGCCAATGAACGGCGTCACGGCTGGCCGCCTCGTGATATATTAGCATTTGAATCGCTTATTCGTTACGAGTATTTGAACATTCCTACTCAGTTTTGTAGGCTTTTATGACTTTTGAATTGATTAGATTAGTTGGTTCGTCCCACTCGTTTATATGACGTTTTTGGTCACCTCTAGTTATGAACGTAGGGATGTAAATACCGTCCTTCTTAATGACATGACAATCTGTGTGATTGGGCTAGATTTTCCAAAAAGTGTGATTTACATGTGAAGGGACGAACAAATGGTGCGCCTGGTGGTAAGCGACACGCCTGTCCATAACAGTGGTAGTGCCACTTAGGGTGCGTACAGATCTGGCGAATGCGTTGCACGCGCGCTGCACGCGTGTTGCACGCGTGTAGTTAAATACATATTAGTAATTGTGGCGCATGAGCGGTGTGAAAGGCACGCGAAGAGATCGCAATACGAAATGCACGTGCGCAGTTCGCGAGTCTTTCGCAAACAGGCGCATTTGCGGTGCATTCACCAGATTTGTACGCACCCTTAGAGCTTTAAATCACTAAGATCGAAGGGCACTGCCACTGCGCCCGTCACTCTGACACACAACTTGATAAGTCCCCTGTGCCTGTAATTTCACCTGCACCCTTACCTTTCAATTGTAAGGTGGCAGTAGTTCACTGGATGAATCCTTTTCTCAAGAAGCTCTATTGCTAAAAAATAAATGTTACGTTATATCTTTACTCCTATAGTACGACGAAAATACATACCAGGAAATATCCGACATTAGACATTACGTATCTT